GGCGATGACTTGTTAAGTAAATCATGGTTAAAGGGTGAAATGACTCCTGGGTTCAAACCTTTCACGGTTAAAGGTGTGTAGTTAAGAAAGTGTCACACTTTCTTTCACTTTACTACCATGAATATTTGTTTGGCAGAATAAAGATTAGAGCTAGTTCAATTATTTTGGGTGGTGCGGTTTTGAAAAAACCTTGATTTAGCAATTATTTTAAGTGGCCCTACAAAAAAATATAAAGGAGATTTAATTCTAATGATAGGGTAAAGGTTTTTTCACGTAAACAGCAGAATACAGACCTACCACTGCAACTCGGGAACTGGAAGACATCTTCGATTCTTGGCGCTTCGTGACCCGTTCTGACCTTACTGTTGAAACTCAATGAGGGAGGGGTGGAAGAATTTTATCGTGCACCGCAAGTTTGAGTTTGAGTTTGAGTTTATTATTTCCCATAATATTATACTGTACATACGGTGTGTTACAATGTAATGAATTTGGGAGGAAGACTAAAGAAACCCTTACGGGCTTTTACAAGTAGTCTCCCTGAAGGTAACAAAAGATCTATTGAAATTCATTGAAGTAGGTAAGGACTGTTGAATTTATCGTGAATGACTAATTAAATTCCAAAGGATTTTAGAAAGATATAGTTGAGAAATCTTCAGAGGTAAAAATTAGATATATTACGCAAAATATGCTTAAATCGGAGTGACCCAGCCCACCTTTAAGACAACACAACTCTAATAACCCAACACCCACCCGGTGAAACCCGGCGATTGCTCAATATGTAACCCAGTCTCCCCACTCGGTCAAGCTAGTCTGCGAAGAGTTCGAAGTCAAACGTTCGGCTACACTCTTGCATTTCAAAAAATGTCGTCTTCTAAAGTCGCTGTGGTAAGCTATTTACATTAATATTGTACTAAAGTAGCAAGTTAGCCTGCAGAAGGGGCGTTTCTTGCGTTTTTTAGTCGAGTGGTGCCAAGGCAGGCTGGGCAGGGCAAGCGTGACTCCGCTAGTTTTCTCCGCTTGCCTGAAAAATACAGTAACGCCTGTGGGCATCTTGTTCATGCTGCTTGTCGTAGTAGTTACTGCTGCCTCAGATCAGCAACAAAACACACTATAAACATAAACTGTTTCACTCACATATTTGACTTATTTGCCGTAAAAAGGAGGGTCTGATGTACTTTGGTAGCCTGCTGTGGTAATGCATGGCCCGATTTTACCTGTTACTACCCCCCGGGTATTATTTTTAGGTATCATTTGTGAATGACAGACAAAAGGTGACAAAGATCAAAATAATGTAAATGCAGTGAATCCACTGTAAAAAGTTGTTATTTGGCTGCAGCTTGTACATGTGCACAGAAGAATGCAAAACTTTACCGATTGTTACCTAACTAGACTAGGGAAAAAAAACTCGAACCCATGGTTACCTGGGGGGAGGGGAGAAGGGAGGCGGGGTGAAGAAAGATGTAAACAGCATTGATGTGAACAGCATTATTAACACATGATGTCATGTCTACTGCAGCTTGTTAGAGGATTTGTGTACTCAAAATGTCATAACAAAGGAAAATAGTAGAGTAAACAAGCATTAAATGAGAATGTAGCGAAAAATTCATGGAGGTGCCTTTGACAGATATATTCATTAGAATGTAGTTCAATTTCATTTTTGTTTATTTTCCATAAGGTGACAGGAGCTAACAAAGGAATTGGATACGCAATAGTTAAGAAGCTTTGCAAAGAGTTTTCAGGGACTGTTATTCTTACAGGTAATTATTCACTTTTTTCTTTTACTTAAACATGTTTCGACCAGTTTGGGGATAAGTTGCTGGTTTTGGGCTTTAGGACTGGCATTAACCTCAAGACATCTAAACTTTTTAAATCAATGTAGAAGTTTTACAATCAAACCTCCTGTAAGCTACCACCCAAAGTGTGAAGACTTACTGGTTACTTACAGGAGGTGGATGCTTGCGAGAATCAAACTACAGGAGGTCTTTTGCGAGTGAAAGTCTTAACTTATCTACGTTTTGTACTCTTTTGAAGAGAATTTTTGCACACACTTTGTTATGATATTGGTGGTTTCATTTTGTCGCTAAAAGTTGTTTGTATATTCTGAGTATCTTAGCATGTAAAGCTAACATAAAGATCAGACCATGTACAAGTGGTTGCTTATGAGAGGTTCAAAACAATGAAAAAATATTATTATATAATTGTCATCTCAAAGAGTGGTTGCAGTGGCATACAAGAAGTTCCAACTGTAGGTCTAGTTTGACTGTGAACAGTTTGGCATTTTGGGACTGGTGGTTGCCGGTGGAGGCTGGACTGTATTACTGTTTGTGACAACTTCTTTTCTGGAAACTCTCTCTTGTAATGAAGCACGCTTGGATGGGAGCAAGTCTCTTTTGGCCTAGGGAGGGAGTTGATCTTGACTAACTCTGAAGGGCAGTGTTTCAAGTGGAACTGTTATACTATAAGCAGAAGCAAATTAAAAACTATGCATGAGTAGTGTCGA